CCAAACAAAAGAAAAAAAAGTAAAGATATACCAGTGTGATATATATTAATTCTTCTACTTTTCTGAAAAACTCACCCAAACATGAAAATGAAACAAAAAGATGACTATATGACCTTTTAATATCAGGGCAGAGAGTTTTTTAATAACTTTAGCTGAGAATCATCTGAGTCTATCCATATATTTAACTTTGACCAACAATTTTTGTAAGAAAACTTTTAAAAATACAATATTATAGATTGAAGAGGTTAATTTGTAGAAATATGGTTCTGGAGCAGTATTTTTTCTGAACATCGACCAAGTTTGTACCTAAATTAGCAATCTTGTTAACATTTATTACCTCCCAAATCTTTAAATGACTTTTTGAATTGACTCTGTCATTCTCCACACTCCCTGAATAATGAGCTACATAAAACATTGATAGGTGTTCACCAACAAGCTGTGTGAAAATTATGATTTGAAACAATTTGAGACTTGTACCTTCAAGCCTTTTATACACAAGTTCTCTCCACCAATATTGCTGTGGAACCCGAGGTCTCAGGGGACTAAACCACTGAAAGGTCACACTGTTTCCTCTGTGCCTATGACTCATGTTAAACTTTTTATGCATGTGTGCCACCAAATTTGTGTAATTTTATCTTCACTATAGACATTAGGGCAATATTGATCCCAACCATCAAAAAATGGGTTAATTGCATTTTTCTCTCATGTCTTTTATTTTTTTTATAATCAATATTTTTTATTATGATATTGTGGGGTACAGTTAAGGGTTAGGTATGCAAATATGCTTCATTCAGGCACCCTTGTTGATAAGAGGTGTCTCCCCATCCCCAGACAGATATTTACTACTGTCAATCCCATCTCCCTTCCCCTCCCCCCCATAGTTTCCCACCACTGTCAGTCATTTTCTTATAGTATTATGTTGGATGTTCAAGGTCCACCATATGAGTGAGAACATGTGATACTCAGAACTTTGTTTCTGTGAGAGATCACTCAGTATTATAGACTCTAGTTCCATCCAGGTTGCTGCGAAATTCATGATTTTTTTCTTTTTTATGGCTGTGTAGTATTCCATCATGTATATGTACCACATTTTAAAAAATCCAGTCCTCTTTTTCTCATGTCTTTTATATTCATCTTCCTTTGATATTCACTTTGGAGATGTGGCTTCATGGTGGGGGATAAAATAGGAAGTGAAGGAGCCAGGCGCAGTGGCTCACGCCTGTAATCCGAGCACTTTGGGATGCTGAGGCTACAGGATTGAGTCCAGGGGTTCGAGACAAGCCTGGGCAACTTAGCAAGATCTCATCTCTACAAAAATTTTTTACAAAAATTAACCGAACGTGGTGGAGCGCACCTATAGTTCCAACTACTTGGAAGGCTAAAGTGAAAGGATTGCCTGAGCCCAATGTGCCGAGGCTGTGGTGGCCATGAGTGTGCCACTGCACTCCAGCCTGGGTGACAGAGTGAGCCTTCTACTCACAAAAAAAAAAGGAAGTGAGGGAAATAAACCAAGAATAATAACTACAAGTGATGAGACTGCAAAGTAATTGCTGCAGACTGATGTTTATGATTTCCTTTTCCCCCTAGATTAATATGTTGAAGCTCTAATCCCCAATGTGATGATATTTGAGCATGGGATCTTTAAGCAGTAATATGTTTTAGATGAGGTCATGAGGGGATTAATGCCTTTATAAAAAGAGGTAGAGACCAGAGCCTTCTTTCTCTGTCATATTAGAGGACACAGCAAGGAAATGGCCTACAAACCAGGAAGAGGGCCTTTGCCAGACACCTAATCTGCCCACACTTTCATCTTGGACTTTTCTACTTTCAAAACTTTTGAGAAATAAATGTTTGTTGTTTAAATCGCTCATTCTGTAATAATTTGTTATAGCAGTCCAAGCTAAGACAATAATGAAAAAGAACCCCCCTTCTCCCTTTATAAACAACATTTCTTCTTTCCTTTTATGGAATCTTGCAAAAATGTTTATGATTGATTCTTGCAAACTATTACTCTCCCCCAAATACTTGTAGCATGCAAGAGGACTTGGAATTATAGAACTAGTATAGATCAAGCAACAATTCCCTAACAGTCATTCTGGCAGAAGGAGAAAAACTGCTGAGGACATTGTCGTTGAGGGAGGTAGGGGGTTACTGAAATTGTTCAAAGGATACCCAGCAGGTCCCTGCCCATTCAGAACCAGTGGACACAGATCACAGGGAATAAGCTGAACCTAATCACTAATATAAACTGCTTCCAAACACTTTCTCAACTGCTTTGGCAGAATTTGTGCTTAAAATCATACAGTGAATATGCTTAACATATTGTCCTTTGTACCTATTCAGGAAGTAGACTGCCAGCATTTCATAATTAACTTGGATGCAGTTTTAAAAACTGGTGAATAATTAAAACTTCATGTTATTAAGCAATTCCAATTCTTCCTCTGAATTCAAGACTTTGACCTATTGCATGACAAATTGAAAGTTAATGGTGGTTTCACTACTGGGAGGAACAAAAACATAATCGAGATGCATTATCAGATAATATACCTTCAGCTCTATGTACAGCCCTGCAAACCATAGCACACAATTGGTACTATGGTTTGAATGTTTTGTCCTTTCAAATGTCATGTTAAAACTTAATCCCCACCAGGCACAATGGCTCACACCTGTAATCCCAGCACTTTGGGAGGCAGAGGCGAGAGGATTGCCTGAGCCCAGTGGGTCGAGACCAGCCTGGGTAACTTGGTAAGACCTCGTCTCTACAATAATAATAATAATAATAATAATAATTTAAAAATTCACTGGGCATGGTGTCATGCACCTATGATTCCAGCTGCTTGAAAGGCTGAAGCGGAGGGATCACCTAAGCCTAGCAGGTCAAGGCTGCAGTGGCCGTGAGTGTGCCATTGCACCCCAGCCTGGACTACAGAGTGAGACCCCAACTCAAAACAAACAAACAAACAAAAAAAACCTTAATCCCCAATGCAATAGTATTGAGACATGTGACTCTTTGGGAGGTATTTAAGTCACAAGGGCTCTGCTCTCATGAAAAGATTAATGTCACTATAAAAAGGCTTGCAGAAGTGAGTTTTCTCTCTTCTGCCATGTAAGGACATAGCATTCATCCTCTCTTGTCAATCTGACTTCCACTGTGCGAGCACTCAGCAAGCAGGCCATTATCAAATGCTAATGCCTTGATCTTGGAATTCCCAGCCTCCAGAACTGTAAGAAAATACATTTCTCTTCCTTGTAAATGACCCAAACTGTGGTATTCTATTATAGCAGCACAAAAAGATCTAAAACAAAAGGCAAAAGCTAAACTATTCAAGTGAAAATGGACAGAGGGAAACAGTGAAAAAACACTGGTCATCTATCCCATGTTCTGGAAAGGCACCAAAACACAGGAATGGGACAAAAAGATGATTACACAACATTTTACATCACACCAGAACATTGTCCTATAAACCCACCTGTGTCACCTGATCAGTATACTTAACTTTATTGGCCAACATTGGTGAAGGAGTGCAGCCTTCCTACAGTACTATAAATCTAAGAGATTAAACGGCAACAGTAAGCAGTGATTTTTTTTTCTGACTGTTGGTGAAGTTTATAGATAATTTTATTGTCCTGCAGGTTATCAACTAGGTTTGTACCTAAATTAACAATCTCATTTCTGCATTTTTTCACGACCTACATAATCAAGAATCTATAAGTGCTTTTTAAATGCACCCATATCAGCTGGGCTCAGTGGCTCAGCCTGTAATCCCAGCACTTTGGGAGGTTGAGGTGAGATGATTGCCTGAGCCTGCAGGTTCGAGACCTGCCTGGGCAACTTGGCGAGACTTCATCTCTACAATAAATCAAAAAATCAGCTGGGCGTGGTAGCGCATGCCTGTAATTCCAGCTACTTGGAAGGCTGAGGCGGAAGGATCGCCGGAGCCCAGCAAGTTGAGGCCGCGGTGGCTGGGAGCGGCCACGGCACTCCAGTCTGGGTGACAGAGTGAGACTCCAACTCAAAATAAAAAAAAAAATAAATAAATAAAATAAAATAAATGCACCTATATCACACTGTTGGTTCCCCGAATAGTGGGCTAAATAAAAAAAATTGACAGCTATTCACCAACAATCTATGTGGGATTTATGGTTTGTAACAATTTGGGAGTTGTGCTTTCAAACCACTTTTTGGAAATGAGGTCACCTTTTCGAAAGAGTCCACTGGCTGACTTCTCACATAGCCTTGGACAAAATAAGATAAAGATCAATTTCCTAAAAAGTTTGAGACAATCTTTACTGATTTAGAAGATTTGTCATCTGATATTATATTGTCACCAGTGGGGTCTCCAACCCCAGGACATCATAGGACTATTCTTTAGATGTTTTATAATACAAAAGTCAACATCAGGCACTGAATAGCAGGTCAACAGTTTCTAAACAAGATATGAACTCAACGTATAGGACCGGGGGGGAAAGGTGCCATATACATTGAGATTCCATTTTTTTTTTATTAATGTCTGACATTTATTGAAAATAAGGAAAATAATTTCCTCCAGGTAGTATAAATAAGTCCAGGAGAAGGTTGAAGTTATTATTATTATTTTGTCCATCAAGCACCTTAGAAAATGCTCCAATCTCAGAAGAGAAATGGATTCTGGGCAAAACTAACTGGTCCACAGGAGAAGATGAGTGACTTAATTTGGTCACTAGCAGACATCTGGCAGGAACACAAGAAATCTCTGGGAGTATGAAGAAACAGGTCCTGCCGGAGGAGAAGGGCTGGATGGCCCCTTCGAGGAGGAGATCAGCTATCTGAATCATTGTCCGAGGGCTGTGGCCAGCTCAGGTATCTCCAAGGTGAGTCCAGATCACTAAGAGCAGCAGTCTGTCAGTGGGATTTGGTGGATGGCGCTGGCAACAGCGAAGGCAACAGAGCTCAGGTCTGTGGGCAGAATGATACAGTAGGCTGGAAGCCTGGCAGGGGAGTGTTTGGCAAGGGCCGGCTGTGGGTGGTCTGTCCAGTGTGTAATAGGAGCCCAGCTCGCAGCTGGGATGCGGGACAGCGTCCAAATGTGCATGGGAGGGGCTGGGCTGGCAGGAGAGGGCGGCGGCGCGCTCCAGAGGGAGGCCCACAGCAGCGGGAGGCTGGTGTGCTATTCCTGGAACAAAGGCAAACACTACGCGGGAGGGGACAGGAGCCTAGGGGACGTCGCGGCCTCTGGGGGAGGGGGAGGAGCGACGGGGGGGTACCCGTGGCGACCCCAGTGGCGGCCACTGGCACGGCAAGCCCACCCCAGAGCACCCGCCCCCAGGCCCGAGGGTCTCCCGGTCTAGAAATCGTCGTCCTCGACCCATCCAAAGACCCGCTTCATCTCGGCCAGGAAGCCCAGGTAATCACTGAGCAGGGGGCTCTCCATCCTGATGTAGGGGATCACCCACTGCAGGGCCGGCCCCGTGAGGCGGGTGATGAGGAACGTCACCTTCAGGGCGTCGGTGGAGAATGTGTCCTCATCCGCGAGCATGTAGGCGCCCGTCTGCACGATGAACTCCGGGAGCCGGTTGGTGTCGCCGTCAAACATATTGGGGAAAGGAATCGGGTTCATCCACCGACTTGTGTCGGGCCGGATGGGCAAGGCCAGCAAGGCCTTTATCAGCTGCATCCGGCCGTCCATCGCGCCGCGCTTACTCCGCTATACTTAGCTGGGATGTGCAGGGGTCAACTCCGAGGCGTGGCTGGAAGAGCAAGTTCGCGAAGGCGGGCCCCTGCCGGGGGCAGGATTTGGGCGGATCCATGGGCGGGGTTCAGGCGTCTGTGCAGGCTCTGTCCAGATGGCCCGGTGGTCACTACTGCGCAGATGCATCAACACAAACGAGAAAGGCGGGGGAGAGCTTAACGCCCTTGAGGAAGCGGGGTCGGAACAGAGGGGCGGGGCTGGTGTTTCCCTTGGCGGGCGTGGACTAACCAAGCGCTGCGGGAGGGGAGCAAGGAAGGAGCTCATGACACTTTGTGGTGTTTGGGGCGTGTGGAAATTGCTATGAAGAGTTAGTAGGGGGTCCTAGTTCTGGTAGTTGATGAGGCCTTTCGCCATACCCCTCCCTTTACCTTTCTCATGAGCCTTTGCTTATTTCTTCAGGATCCTTGGTCTGGAAGTCACTTGGGTGAGGTTTTGTGAACCTGCTTCTTTATACATCTTTGAGCCCGAGAAGTGTTGCAACGCTGGTTACAGATGTGTTTGCCTTGCAGCATTAATGGGAACGCCTCAAATATTAGCAAACAAAAGTCCTGAGCAGCATATTCAAAAAATAATGCACCATAGGCAGGCAGTTAATGTAAGGAGGATTAAATGTTAAGAAATCTCAATTTAGTATATGTATTTAGTTTTTGTTTGTAGTTCACAAAGTTTAATTTATTTGCTTATAGTTCAGTCCTACCACAAAGTTTTAAAGCACAGGACACCTGTTATTCCTTCAACATCTGCCCTTTTTTTTCAAGGTACATACTGTACTACATCCAGAGTAAGTCAGCAGTTCTTGAATTTTTTTTTAAATGGGTAAAACTCTTCTAAAATTGCAGATGTCTATAACTGCATTGGTACTAGATGAGGGGACAATGAGAGAACGGGAAAAAAGCAAACGCGTTCTTAACTAGGAATGTGGTTCAAGTCTGGATTAAGAGACAATTTCCTCAGAAAATCTGGTTGTAATGGAATTTCTAGAAAATTTACTTTGCTCCCCCAAAAGGAGCTGAAAAACCCCAATACAAACTTTTAAAAGCTACAGTTATGATGTGCTGTAAATGATGATTAGAGCAATAGAAGGGAGAAGGATGAATGTGTTTTCCATTTAGGTATAGTTTGTAGCATAGCTTCCTTAGCTGTTGGATCAGTAAAAACCAATGAAGCACCAGAAATACTTTTAAAGATTGAGGTAGGAAAGTACTGAACATATTACATGTCTATGTCAGTTACAGGGTATATTGGCCAGGAAATGTTTCTAAGCAGTAAAATGACTCCAGGATAGATCCTTCTCTCCAACAGATAGATCCTTCTCTCCAACTAATTTTAAAAGATAGTTACAAGTAGATAAAGTAAGAACAGAAAATTACAAGGCAGCGAACACAACAGAATCAAGATGTTGCTGTATTCTGTGAGGCTAAGAAAACTGGTAACTTGGAACCTCCAGCAAAATATTACTCTTGTTTATCAATCACTTATACCATTACATCTATAAGTTGAATGCTTTTATTTCCATGTACTAAAGAATCCTAAATTTAGCCCTTAAGCATTCTGCATAACCTTGTAGCTGAGTACCTATTCTATTCCACTTTGGTGCAGATAACAACTGGAAGCTGCTGGCGAAAGGCCTTGAATGTAGTGTCTGACATTGTTTGATAGTTTTTAGCAGTCCAACCACCAGGGATTCAGTGAACGTCCACTCTGATTTCCAGTGACCATGTGAGAAGTTTTTAGGCTGAAATTTGTGTCTTTCAATATACACAGTAAGAGTCTGTTGCCCATCTATAGTTTTAGTATAAACAGTACAGAAGACTTTGAAATAATGATTTTTCACTTAGGTCCTTAAAGCACTGCAACAGAATTCTCTCCAAGACTTTAGAATGCCACTTACTTCTGCCGAAGAGTCAGTCGATTCTTTTCTTTTT